CCCCAAAACCCCAAAACCCCAAAACCCCAAAACCCCGAGTTATCATTTAATTATTGAGAATAATGGTTAAGACTAGAGACCAAAAGGCGTACACCAGAGAGGATATCAGCAACCTTGTGAACAACAAGGGCAGAAGTATCCTCATCTTTGAAGGCAAGGTGTACGACTCCACAGATTTCAACAAAACTCATCCTGGAGGTGCTAAATTTATTGAGGATTTCATTGGGAAAGATATCACTGAAGTCTTCTATGAGGAAGAGCACACCAAAGTTGCCAGGAGGATGTTACATGACATGCTCATTGGCACATTGGAAAACCAATCTGAAGACCAGGATTCACAAGATACCCATCATGATAGTTTCGATGAGACTGAGTTAGAAGATGATCAATGGAAGAAGAAAATTGACCCAAGTAAAGGAACTGTCTGGCAGGTGTTCACTACAGTCAGCAACGAAGATTATTTGGATTTAATTAATAGTCCAAAGCATTTAGCACCAGACGAAGAGCATGTTATGTTTGAGAACTGGTTCCTTGATTTCGTCTCTCATATCCCCTGGTATCAAGTATTACTTTTCTGGGGTCCCTTTGGAGCATACCAGACATACAATGGCTACATGGCAAATGATTTCTGTAAGTATTCTCTTTCTCCCAAGATATTGTCTCTACTAATCGCTAACTTCTGTTCGATCCCCATTTAAAGATTCATGAAATTTGCAAGACCTCACCAATCACTATAGGGACTTTCATAATATTCTATCTGCTAGGATTCCTCTTCTTCACATTGAGCGAGTATTGACTGCATCGGTTCATCTTCCATATGGAGAAGTTCTTGGTTATGAATCGGTATCTGAGGGCTCTGCATTTCACTTTCCACGGAGTGCACCACATGTTCCCTCTTGACAAGGATAGGCTGCTCTTGCCTGTACCAATTGCTTTGATAATCTGGTATTCCATTAAAGTTTGTGTACAGATATTCATCCCAGAGAATCCAATGAGTAAGTTAGATTCGCCATTTCCCTTAATTTTTTAAAATAAACGTCATGACGCAAAATTACGGACCGACATGACTTTCCAATTTTTTCTCAAAAACTACGTCACACAAGTCATTTTCAGTCCCATTTTATCAGATATAAAGAATAAGGTCATAATTCTTATTTTAGTTGCCTTTGCAGCCTCAGCGACACTTGGATATTTGAATTACGACTTGACGCATTATTACCTCCACCATCATGCTCCAATGACTGGGTATAAGTTCTTAAAGAGATACCACATGTTCCATCACTACAAAGACCCAGATAATGGCTATGGGGTGTCTACACCTCTCTGGGACTACGTATTCGGGACTACTTTAGATATGACTAAAAACCACCAGAAGAAGAGAGCGTAATATATTTCTTAATTCAAATTTCAACTTAGGAATACATCTTAGGGGTTTTGGGGTTTTGGGGTTTTGGGGTTTTGGGG